GGATAATTGAATCAATTAGCATCGAAGAGAACAAAATTAGCTGTCACATGATCACAAATTAATGTACAACAAATAAATAAATTTTTAAGACACCAATTTGAGGAATAACATAAAAGAATGTTACACTGTTATGATAAAAGATATTGACATATATCTTTGACAGATTTGTTTCAATGTTTGTATTGATTGGCGCTTTTGTTAGCTTACATTATTAATCTAGCGCTTTTTGTTAGCATACATTATGTATAAACAATAAGCACAAATACAATTCTATGCATAGTGATAGTATTCTACATATAATAGAAAAAGAATTTGAATGATAATCAATCCTAATTATGATAATTATAATTCAACATTGATAAATTCAAATGCAATACATTTATGATTCGTTATATTTTTTTTTCTTACAGAACTTTGTTTCTTCACGTTATGATCAATAATTAATGCATTTGTAATTTTGAAACAATTATGAAATTGTAATTTTTCTTTGAATATTTATCGATTAATGAAAAAATGATTGAATAAAATAATCCATCCATTTTACAAATAAACAAAATAACTCCAATGTTAACTCATTCTGTTTAATTCAATGGAAAGAAAAAATGAGTTAAAATTACAGCTACTTATACATTTGATTGAAAATTAGGTTGAAAATGAGCTTTTCAGATTTTTTTTAAAATTTAGAAACCAATAAAAGTTATTAACGGTATTGAAATAAAACAACAAACAAAAATTAGCATATAAAATATATTCCAATATAAACTACTAATAAAGCCATTTCTCTTTCATACTAATGAATAACCTAGGATTAGATTTTTAACTACAAAAAAAAAAAAGATATTCATTTATAGAAACGAATAATTAATTTGTTAAGTTTGATTAAGAACAAAACAATGTTTTTTGTTTTTTTTTACTCTTCGAAGATTTAAAATTGCTAGTAGAAAAAACTAAAAAAAATTTAAATTAAATTTTAAATGATTTTTTTTTGCATGTAAAAAAATTTAATGAAGAACTAAGACGAAAAGAGGAGAATAAATGTTCATCATTTATTTTTCAAGCTATAATGATATCCAGTTGTTGACATTTTAAATACTTCTTACTACTACCACTAACTATTATTAGTACTATTTTTATTGAACATAATAAAAGAAAAAGTGATAACAGATAATAACTTTAGATAAGAAAGAATCTTTTCCATAAATTAATCCATCTATTGATCATACTAATTATTTATTGTTTCATAAATTTATTTATCATTTTATATGTAATCATTATCAATTTCCATCTCTTATTCTTATTTCTAAAATTCTTACAGTAACTTTTATATTAATATTTATCCATTTAAGAATAAATTTCACTAATTATAGCAATTTACTCTAACATATCCTTTTTTTTTACACATCAAATTATACTATTACAATATTTTAATTAACAAATTCTATATTTTAATTAACAAAAAAATCAAATTGTGCTATTGCAATATTTTAATTAATAAATTTTGTATTTTAATTAATAAAAAAAAATCAAGTCATACTATTACAACATTTTAATTAACAATCAGTTGGCATTCGAATTATTTGCCGCAAACGGTTTAATTGAACATTTTATTAATTAATTTAATTAATCATACCTTTATTAACATTTCTCTCTTAGGTTATCATTATTGCAGCATCAATTACTTTAATATTGAATTAATTTGAAATGAATAAATGAATTTGTTCGTGGCAAAAAGTGGTGATGGTATTAGTAATTATCGTATGGATTATACAACATTTGATCATATTATCTTTTATGTGGCATTTTTTGGAATAATTATCGATGTAATTTCATGTTATCCACGACAAGAAATATGCATACCACAGGAGTAAGTTAATTTTTCATTCTATGTGAAATCTTATAGCAAATTATCATCTAAAAAAAAAACGAATTTGAAATAAATTCAAAAAAAAGATAGATTCTTTAAATTTCAACGGTTAAAAAAAATCCATCCCTTATTTCATCCTTCCTTTTCTTCTTTAGATAATTGGAACAGTCAATTTTTCTCCTTTGAGAAATGAGTGATAACAGTTATCATTTCTTGGTAGTATTTGATAACTGTATTAATTTCATTTAATTCATTAATCGATATCGTTCATTCGTAGCTTTTTGCTTATCATCGATGTGCTATAATAATAATTGGTCAATTTTTCTCCCTTGAAAAATGAATGATAACAGTTATCATTTTTTCAAAAGTATTTGACATCTGTATTAATTTAATTTAATTTAATTTGTAAATCAGTACCGCTCATTTATAGTTTTTTGTTTATCATCGATGTGCTATAATTTAAAAGCAAGAAAATAAATGAAAACCATGAAAGATATTAATGAATGAAGTTTAGTTACTACGTCAACTTTCATCAAATGACAATTAGAATTTACAGTTAATTAAAATTAAATGCTTCCATTATTTTTATTTTTGAAAAAAAAAAGGAAAAGATTTCAGTTGTCCTGAAGAAACCAATTATGTATACTATACATGTTGCGATGATCAATGTTGTCAGCAATGGCGAATATGGGTTCTGTAAGTTCAATAATTTCAAGTTTTCAGTTTTCTGTTTTCGAATAAAATTTTGAAATTATTTAAAATGAGAAATAAAAATGGATGACGCATATATATTATGAAATTATCCAAAACAAGTCTTTGTTTAAAGGCTTATCTCAAATATGCAATGATTTCGAATCATTTTAAGTTATCACTCAAACACATACATTTCAAATCTTTAAAAATGATGATTACTTTCTTTTTCCTACTTTTCCATGTTAGAATGTCCCATTTAATTAGTTCACTTGTCATTTTTTCGATATTTGCAATTTTTAGAATTAGGAGGGAGAGAGAGAGAGAGAAGAAAAAAAAAACATATATATAATTTCAGACCAGCTCTATTTGCATCAACTGCTTTCACTATGGGTGCGTTTTTTGCATTTTGCTTCCACTGCCGTTGACCGCTATAATCAATATAAATATCGTGAATTGGAAGCGGAAACAGAATTACATGAAACGTGTCGAAAATTTCCTAGTTCAATTAATAGTAAATAGTTTAACAAGTTTGTAGAAAAGTCGAATGAACGAGCAAATGAAATACGACAAACTTGCACAAATTGTTTCTATTCACAAAAAGTATTGTGTGCTAAATCAATTTCAATATATGAATTAAATAAGATGAACAAATAAAGAGGACAAGAATTTAATAAGACAACATGAAGCAATTCCCTTTCATATTTGGCAAAACAACCGTATGTAAAAAATCCGAGAACTTGAGAACTCGAAATCTGAAAAAAAAATCGAATTCATTCTAAAAAATATATATGAGTGATGAACAAGATGAAAAAAAAAAGAAAAAACAAGATCAACACGTCCTTTTTTTTCATGTATTTTGAATCAACACAGCAGATGCAGCAATCAATTAAGCAACAATTTCCATATACAGTTCTCATATTCATGCAAAAGAAACTAGGAAATTTACTAGAAAAAAACGACATCAGGATAAGAAATCACTGAAATTCGTATTTTGTAATATGTCATCAAATGAAATGGGTGACAGTGAGTGCTGCTGCTGCCCCAAATAATAACCACGTACTGTCGATTCCTAAAAATTCAGATGTCAAAAGCAGCCTGCATCTTATACGTCGTATGAACCCATTTGTAATGCAAACAAGTAGAACATAGTAATGTATCAGATTACTTTCATGAACTAGCATGGACTGAACATTCCAAGCATTGAATTAATGTTACCGGCTAATATGGCGAAATGACTACTTCATTTCGATGGAGCGCCCAACTGGAATAGCTTAATTTGTCATTATGCATTAATTTGCTAATTTTAATACAGAACAACTAAGTAGCCTGTAGACTTGTTGTATGTTTGAATCTTGTTTATTAAGTCTTGCGTATTGATTCATCCATTTATGACTTTATGTTTTTTTCATGAATTATTCAGAAGGTTTAACCTGATCAGAAAGTTTTCAAAGTGTATTCGGTTATCAAAAAATCTATAATGCCACAAATATTAAGGAATCTTACCCAAGTTTCAAGGAAATCTGTCACCGTTCGTAAACCTGGTAGAGCTAAACGTTCGTGTATCACATTTTGCAAATCATCGAAGAAAAACGAATCTAAATAAGTAGGATTCAGTTTTTACTTTTTAAAATCATAAAATTAAATAGTATCTTTGCAGAAACAAAGATATATCTTTTTTTTTTTTAAAAACCGTCTAATCAATAAAGTTTTACGTGAGTTTTAACGGAAAGAAATCAACTCTTCTTTAAAAAAATGCCATGAAATTATCCCATTTACTTCTAGAATATTTTCTTTGAAGAATCAATTAAAACTAAGCTTTGAAAATCTTGACCTCAGTTTTTTTCCATAATGAAATTATTCAAACCAAAACCACTGTAACAGTAAAGTGACAAACCTAGATCAAGTGCAGCACGACCCACCAGGACTTCACCATTGGGATATGTTTTCGGTATAATCAACAGTAGCGGTGGCACATTGTGTGAGGCTTAAAAACAATCCTTACTAGGCTCAAATATTCAAATTTTGAAATCGAAAATATTTGTCGGGAACATTTTTAACAATCTGCATCTGCACCCTAACAATTTTTAACATCTGCACAAATCACTCCACATAAGTCTCCTCGACTACATGAAAATATCATAATCGAAAATGTTATCGTTATTTACCATATTTTAAAAGAAAAAACTTTTTTATAGGAGAACTTACTTAATGAAAACTTAATAGTAACAGAATGTGAATCAGCTACTTGTTCAACATTAGGATCTACTAAAAAACGATCTCCAAATGCTAGTAATTCCTGACGCACCGCCTCTGGCAACTGACCTTCTATCTGCAACAAACAAAACAAATTGCAAATATAATTCAAAATATGAAATAATTACAAAGATTTAAAATCTTTCACAAAAGACCATAAGTCAGCCGGCAATGTATTTTTAGGCAATATTACTGCCACTTTACACAAGTAACAGCTCAGTAATATAATAATTGTTAGAAATGTTATTCACTTAAAATATTTAACTTGAAATATTTGAAATATTTTCAAAATATTTGACTGAAACTTAAAATAAAATATGCCTAAAAAATCAAAACATTTAAAGTATGTATGAAATATTCAACTTAATCAACAAAGTAAACCTGTGAAGATGTGCTATTCGATATTGCTTCTACAGGAGTTGGCAAAAAATCATCCAGTACATAAAGATCCTCAACTCCACTGCAGTCAGTTGTTTGTGCACGATTTGATTCTGAGAATGGTGGTAAAGTTGTAGCTACTGTTGCTGCTTGTTGCTGAAAGTTATTAAAATTATGATGTATTTTAATAGTGTAAGATACTTCATATATGTTCAATCTCATGAAACTTAATGTGCATTGTGGTATGTTTAATTTCATAGATTAGAAATATGTAAAATTATAAAAAGAAAAACTATCAGTATTCTTCCTAGAAGGAAGGATAATGAGTTATATTAACGGAAGATAAAATTTCCGGTTATATCTGAAATATCTACAACTATGTGAAAATATAAGAAATACATTAAAATCCTGATAACTGGTGTTTGATACACTGGGAATTTATTTTGCCTGAGATTTGAAAAAAAAGTTATAATTATAAAAATACTAATTATCCTGGATAAACTGAGATTTGGAAAAAGTTATGGTTATAGAAGTAGTAACTACCCTGGATAAACCATGATGCAGCGCCATCGACTGCGCCTGTGTACCGGTATGTAATCCAGCATTTGGATTTGGGTAGGGTGAATGTCGTTGATAGGCATGTTCGACTGAATGTCGTGCAACTTGTTGACCACTTGTCGTTTGCAATGTCACTGGTGATTGCATAAGAGTAGTTCGGCCTGGACAATGAGCCACTGAGACTGATGATGGCACCATAGTAGGTAACACTTGTGGTGATGTTTGCTGCTGTTGTTGCTGTGATCGACTGGATGGCAACGACCAATGTCCGGCGGATGGTACATCAGTATTCGTTTGTACACGATCACCGTATCCCGCCTGTGTTTCACTGTTTAACAAAACTGCATTTACTGCATCCACCAGTGGCTGTGGTTGTAATGCTCCAGCATTCAACGAGATTTGACTAAAAAAAAAAGACGACTATTCATATATGATCCATTAAAATAATTTTACAACTCCATAATGACAAGATAGTAGCCATGTACCGAAAAAAATTAAATAACTAAAAAGTTACTGGAAAACTGTATAAAACAAAGCAGAAGCTTATAGCAATATTAGGAATGCAGCACATGTCGACATGTTAATCGATTGATTAATTTTAACTTTCAAGTCCCATGAACTCTTTTTTCTGTAAAATACCATTGCTAACATATTTTGCTATTAAATCAGCCATAAAATATAGACATTTAAACCATAAACCATATTACTCACCAGAAACTGTTGCTTTTTGTATATCCATGCTTCTATTTGCAAAAGATATTCAAATGATACCCGTCTGTAAAGAAGTAATAAAAAGGTTGGTTATAGTATCACTTCTCATAAAAGGATGTGTAAGTATTGCTCACGGCAACCGAACTTAGCAAAAACGTTTCCATTCAATTATTATTTATGTTCATAATAGATCGGGCATATAAAAAAATTTAAGGTAATGATAAAGCCGAAATGAATAACGTTACTTCATCTTTCGAAATATGTGGATAGAGGAAGCAAGAACCGAGAATTCATAAAAAGGATGAAAGCTAATTTGTTAGCTAGAAACTCAAATTGCATAACTAACTATTTAAACGAGATAAGCAAATGCATCTAATGATGTGGACTATAAGTTATGAAATTGCAAATGAAACATTAAACACTAGCAGACATACGATTTGCCATCAAGAACGTTGCACATTGTATCAAATTTACTTGCAGCAATTTCGTTGCCTTCCAATCGACATTGTTGCGCACGTGCTCGTAAACTCTCAATGTAAGGCCTTAATGAGCGTAATTTCTCGGTATATATACGCTGCAATAATAGGTTAATCGACATCAGGTTGATAATCTTACCGCAAGAAAAAGATTAACTTTTACAAGATGTTAGAAAAACATTTTCGTCAATGAAATAAAATGTTAAACCAAACACTGAAATGAATAATATATAAAATTTAAGAGAATTCTAAATTTTCATCTTCTGAGATTTCGGTCCACTGCCACATATATGTAACTGACCTCGTCATTTTGCTGTATGGTATTTCCAAATGGCAAATCAGCAATGTTTTGATTACCCGATCCATTTAAATGCCGTGAAGACGGTGTCGGTGACCCATAGTGAGGTGAATTGATAAGATTTTCTAAAACAGATGGCTGATGCTGCTGTTGGTGGTGTGGTGAAGCATTTTGCTGTTGTGAAGAAGAAATGGGTGTTGCTCGTGAAATAAACGGTGTCGATGAATGGGTACGTTCAACATACTGAGTGGAATCAGTAGCACCGTAAGGACCTATGAAATTTATGGTGACGCATTATGCAGCAATTAAAAAACAACCAGCATTACTCTTAAAATAGGATATTCCTTATAGATTATTCCTTATAAAGGTAAAATATGCCAAGAGACCGTATGCTGACACTTTTACGAAAACCTAAGTATTGCATAGATGATCTGAGGCTGTTCTAAAACAGAGAATGTAATATAGAGAACATTGGAGAGTCTTGGAAGCCAATTAAAATTTAATAAATACCGGCTGGGTAATAATTGCCGGAAGGAGGAACTTCACGCTTCCATACACGAACAGACATTGAATCCGATATTGGAACTTCTGCACCATCATTACCGCTACTTTTCGGCTCAGTTTTTACGCGACTGTACATCTGATGATTTGGAGAGGTACTGTGTGACCCAGGAACAGAGGGGACCGGAGAAAGCATATTATACGGCGTTTGCTGGGGAACCACTGGGTGTATTACCGGAGAATGCTGTTGCATACTTGATTGTGACGGCTGCATACAACCGCCAGATAATGCACCAGGTGACGATTGCTGCGACTGTATCATAGGCGGCGGTTGAACAAATGGAGAGGCATGGTACCTATCCTGCAAAGAAAAAATCAGTAGACTAAGCTCCCAGTAAAAACCCACTAAGTTTTTTAGGCTAAACCTATGCTAAGGGCCTTCGCCCCTTAGCACGGGTTCAGCCTAAAAAAAAGATTGGATATCAATGACAATGCAAAGATAGTATCATAATTTGCAATAATTTCATAACTATGTTAAATATCGGTTTTTTGACAGCAACTGTGTTTTCTATCTAATGATCGAAATCCCGACTAAGTAAGCAATTAGAAAAATAGCAGTTAAATTGACATAACAAACAATCGAAGAGGAAGGGTAAAAAAATACGACGTCAATTTTCCGTATGCTTACCATAACCTTTTGTTGTTGTTGCTGGTGAGTGGGTTGCGGATCCGGTGGTATACCAAGACTCGCCGACCGATAGTTTTGCGATGCCGATTGAACGCGAGACGGTTGAAGAAGAGATGGTACTGCTGCTGATTTTGCTGCAAAGAAAAGAAAAACTGTTAGTGAAAAACGTAGTACCCATAAAGTTCCCCAAACTAAAATCCTTTATATTTATGTGTAATGCTATCACCGTATAAATAATTGCATATTTTCTTTTTGATTTCGGAATATCATTGCTGTACCGATCTATTTGGCCAATCAGATGGGATTTTTCTTTTCCGGTTATTTGTGAAACAATTTTAATCACTGACAGTTAATCATAGTGGGTCAACTGAAATGATTGAACTACTGCTGGTGAACCTTTGGCATGTATCTACGGCATATAATACACAAAACATCCGGAAGTTCCTAACAATCCTGATAAATAATTATTTTTTTATTTAAATTACATAAATAGTCATTCTTTTTTTCTAGCTAGAATCACCACACCCATTTATTTATTTATTTTTTAGAACTGCCTTACTTATATTTGGCCCTCTCCGCATCACTCTAATTTCTTATGAATCTTTTCGTATTAAGCTACCTCTCTATTAGATTACTTATATTTGATGTTAATTAACGAATATGTTAAGGAATACATTAAGGAATAAAGAATATGTCAAACATGTTAACAAATTAATCATTCCAGAATTTATAATGCCAAAAATGTTGAAAAACACGTGAAATACTTGCAGTTACAATTGATTGCATTGATAACTTTGGCAATCGTCCGCATATATTCATCTTTACTTACGCATTTGTTGAAAACATACTCCTCCACCTGCAAAATAATTTTATTTCATTTCACGACATATACAAGCATTAGCAAGCATTATGCGATAAATTTGCAAAAATAAAATAAACTTTCCAACAATATTATATCACATACAGCGAAATACTGAATGTGCAATTCAGCTCAACCTTTTTTATTCAATAAAATTTTACTTAATATAAATATTAGAATATTGATGTATAAGTTTAAGTCCAAATAATTCAAGTGATTAGAAGACCAAACTGATAAGGGAATGATAAATAACAACGATAAATTCCGCCTCATTGAATCGAAAGCCTAAATATGCGAATATTCAAACCTTGACATCCTTAATTTAACCATGAAACAACAGTAACCAACCTGTCTTGCATCACCGGGTACGGGTAAATTTGGAGCATTTTGACGATTTCTCGCTAATTCTGGTTCCAATCGATTAATAACATGATCGCGAAATCGTTGTGATGGCCAATCATCGTCCCCCATTTACTTATCACATGACCTGCTCCTGACTCATCAGAGCCCGGTGCACCCGAAGAAATCCAGTGCTTCGTGCTGCTTACCCGAACGTCTTTTCCTCAATTCTAGACACAGTCCACAATTCCCGATGACAAATCAATCCTGAAAATGAAACTTCTCACAGTTATAACGAATAATTTAATCCATAACACGTATAAACTCGCAACTCAACCTATAATTCAATACATATGCTAATTTATCTAAACTTTCCAATCCTAATAAATCTTACGTATTCTTTTCATTATCATCTCCGATATCATTAATAATAACGATAGCAATACACAGCTCCGGTTTTCAAATATTTGTAAAATTTCACTGCCCTCTAAAATAGCCTTCCTCTTCCTAACTAATCATCTCATAAAACTATTTCCTATTCTATAATTGCAATTTCAGTAAAAATGCAGCATCGTTAAAACTATCAAAGCCATAAAATGTAATCTCAAAAATTGAAGTTTACTAAAAAAAAAAAAAAAAAACCCTTAACATTTTATCGCCTAATCTTCTCCACTTCTCTCCAGTAGTTTTATTCCTCTTCATAATTATTCGCTCATTATGAAAAGTAGATACGACGGGAAAGAACGTCCTACAATTACATTTGAAAGTCATCTAAATTGATTAAAAGCCTACGAAATTTTGTCGATCCAATGTAACAATAAAACTTATTTACCTGATCTAAATAAAATAATTTGGTAAAAAGGAACATAAAAATCACAATACCTAAAAAAAAAAAAAGAAAAACGTGATAAATGCATAACATGAAATACATCTTACGTATGAAGCAACGTGTACTTATGACAGAAACAAATAACAATATTAGCAATAATAATTTCCTGATTCATTTTTACCTAAACGAATAAAAACCGTATAAATTTATCCATTTAAAATTGATTCAGCCTTTTGACTTACTTGAATTCTTACAGTAAGATATTTCTTTTGAAATTTTAAAATCAAATATACCATTCATTACGAAATTTCTTACTTTCTTTACATCTATTTAAAAAATTTTAAGCGAAAAAAAACTTAGGAAAAAATGGAAGCATTGAATAGAAATAAAAATGATACAAGTAATCAACCGTATCAAGTGTGATAAAACAAGCTGAAGAATTATCAATCGCTATGAAACAAAAAAGAAAGGAGGAATGAATAACGTGCAATTTTATCGCAATTTTATGGAAGTAATGGAAAATTGAGTTTAAAAACAATTTTCAAATTAATTCAATCACAAAACTTAAATGCTTTTCAGCTTTCAAGTTTCAGTTTTTTTTCTCATTTCAAAACAATTTCATTTTTTTTCAAGTCAAATTCACGTTTAACAATAATACTATCCAAAATCTTAAATTTCTGATCTCCCTATACCATCACCATTTTTTCTATTAATTATAACTCATCCATTCACTGAAAACTGTTCGCAACAAGTTTTCACAAGGCAATCCAAAACATGTTTTTTAGTTTTGCACAAATCATAACTAAAAGCAAAACAAGGACAACTTTTATAACCTAAAGTTATAAAATTCTCATCAAAATATGGTTGTTGATGACTTTCAAATTTCTATCATTTTACTTCAAAATTTTTTATTCCCTAATTTTTCGGAAGAAAACTTCATTTTTGACTTGTTAAATTTTAAGAAATATTTTTAGAAACAAAATGCAAAATGCCTTCCTTTGCAGGTAATAACATCAATTTGAAAACAATCGAAAAAAGTTTGATAATCAATTTTTCATCAAATGCTTAACTCTGAAAAAGCATGAACATCTTTTTACAGATAAATTCCCAAAGATAAGTTCACTAAAATCTAAATAATGCCATTTCTAGTCAACATAGAGGTATATTATGCTAGTAATATATCATTCATATAAATGAATAACTCAGAGATAAGATGAACAAGCAATATTACTTACAATAAACTGACAAAGAAGCAAACAAAAAACAATAATAGGCAAACAAAAAAACAATAATAACAAGTAACAACATTTAATTACGGAACAGTGTTTCTTCCTGACGTTTCTTGGGGACGTATGTACCCGGTTTATGCTGAGCCTCTGGATGATTGGCTAATTCCGGTGGACAAGTTGATACTGGACTCTCTAGAAGACATTGCTTCAAATCGTAGAAGACATCCTTATCTTCCGGTGTCAAAAATGTTATCGCTTTACCATGTTTTCCCGCACGTCCTGAAAATAGAAAAGAGATCGTTATATTTGGAAAACCATAAAGATCAATTTAATCAGTGATTAGACAGAAAGAACTACTCTTTTCCAATCTTTATTTAATATATATTGTTTATGAATTACATGTAAATTGGTTTCAAAAAATTTACAATGCTCAACAGTCAAGGGATCAAAAAATACTTCGATCGTATTTATTCAAGAAAAAATTCTGAATCCTGCAAAATATCTCATCCCTTACTTCATTTCTTCACTTATTCATTTATTTTGTATTAATCGTGTCATCGTTCCTCACACACACACACGCAACACACACACACACACACAACACACACACACACACACACTATATATATATATATATA